ACAAGGAATGTCTCACCTCTGTGCTCACCAACAAGGGTTCCTCCACCAACTACAAGAAACGTCTCACCTCTGTGCTCACCAACAAGGGTTCCTCCACCAACTACAAGGAACGTCTCACCTCTGTGCTCACCAACAAGGGTTCCTCACACCACCTACAAGGAACGTCTCACCTCTGTGCTCACCAACAAGGGTCTCTCCACCAACTACAAGGAACATCTCACCTCTGTGCTCACCAACAAGGGTTCCTCCACCAACTTCAGGAAACGTTTCACCTCTGTGCTTCCCAACAAGGGTTCCTCCACCAACTACAAGAAACGTCTGACCTCTGTACTCGCCAAAAAGGGTTGCTCCACCAACTACAAGAAACGTCTCACCTCTGTGCTCACCAACAAAGGTTCCTCCACCAACTACAAGAATCGTCTCACCTCTGTGCTTGCCAACAAGGGTTCCTCCACCAACTACAAGAATCGTCTCACCTCTGTGCTTGCCAACAAGGGTTCCTCCACCAACTACAAGAGACGTCTCACCTCTGTGCTCACCAGCAAGGGTTCCTCCACCAACTACAAGGAATGTCTCACCTCTATGCTCACCAACAAGGGTTCCTCCACCCAACTACAAGGAACGTCTTACCTCTGTGCTCACCAACAAGGGTCTCTCCACCAACTACAAGCAACGTCTCACCTCTGTGCCCGCCAACAAGGGTTCTGCCACCAACTACAAGAGATGTCTTACCTCTGTGCTCACCAACAAGGGTTCCTCCACCAACTACAAGGAATGTCTCACCTCTGTGCTCACCAAGAAGGATTCCTCCACCAACTACAAGAATCGTCTCACCTCTGTGCTCTCCAACAAGGGTTCCGCCACCAACTACAACAGATGTCTCACCTCTGTGTTTGCCAACAAGGGTGCCTCCACCAAATTCAGGAAACGTCTCACCTCTGTGCTTCCCAACAAGGGTTCCTCCACCAACTACAAGAAACGTCTGACCTCTGTGCTTGCCAACAAGGGTTCCTCCATCAACTACAAGGAATGTCTCACCTCTGTGCTCACCAACAAGGATCTCTCCACCAACTACAAGCAACGTCTCACCTCTGTGCTCGACAACAAAGGTTCCTCCACCAACTACAAGGAACGTCTCACCTCTGCGCTCTCGCCAACAAGGGTTCCTCCACCAACTACAAGGAACGTCTCACCTCTGTGCCCGCCAACAAGGGTTCCTCCACCAACTACAAGAAACGTCTCACCTCTGTGCTCGCCAACAAGGGTTCCTCCACCAATACAAGGAAAGTCTCACCTCTGTGCTCACCAACAAAGGTTCCTCCACCAACTACAAGGAACGTCTCACCTCTGTGCTCACCAACAAGGGTTCCTCCACCAACTACAAGGAACGTCTCACCTCTGTGCTCGCCAAGAAGGGTTCCTCCACCAAGTACTAAGTCATGTTTTGCTTGGAGATCAAATACTTATTTTACTCCCTGAACTGCAACTCCATTTATAACATTTGTATTGTGTGTTTTTTGGATTTCTGGTTGATATTCTGTCTCTCTCATGTAAAATACACCTATGATAACAATGATAGATCCTTCATTTTTGTGTAAGTGGTCAAACTTACAAAATCTTCAGGGGATTGAACCATTATTTTCCCCGCTGTATTCTAAACTTACATTAAAATTGTTATATTTAAATACACTTTACGTCTTAAACGAGAGGATGGACTCCATAGTTTGGACCAGGGGTGTATTTACCACAAGGCAAACAAGGCACTTGCCTAGGGCGGCATTTTTCAGGGAGGCAGCACCCCCCCCAAGAAGAAGGGATGGAAGAAAGGACGCGCACCATGGGAACCAGGTGGGATCTGAGAGAGCCTGTGGGGTGCTTTATGGTGTATGTAGAGCCTGACTCTCATTCCCGGGGATGTCCGGAGCTGTGAAGATGAGTGTCTCTATTGCTGGCAGGAGGGGAGGGGGTTAGTGGAAAGATCTCCTAGGTGGGGGGCAGGGGTGTTGTTGGTCAATGTCAGGCTTTTTCCGTGGGAGGGGGAAGGAGGGTGGTGTTGGTTCATGTCCATAGGGGCAGATGATCTTTGTGTTGCCTAGGGCAGCACAAAACCTAAATACACCGCTGGCTTGGACTTAGCGCCTTCATAACTGGAATGCAGTTGCTGATGGATTTCATGAAAACTTCTAATTGGTGAAGTGCAAGTCCAGATCCTTCAAGAGCAAAGGGCATCACCAGCACATCACAAGCTCAGCTAAGAACCATTTATTAGTCACAAGAAGGAAAGTGTGACATTTCGGAGCCCCTTCAGCAGGCAAACAGTGAAGGAAAGGCTGCTCTGTTCTCCGAATGGCTGAGCTCGTGATGTGCTGGTGACACTCTTTGCTCTTAAAGATGCTAGACAATGCCATCCGCCTTCTGCTCACAACTAGGCCCCACACCCAGGCCATCTTTTCTTTACGACAGGTTCTCTTTAAATAAGAACCTTGTACAGAAGACTTTTTTTTGAAGGAGAGAAAATAGTAGAACAATTGTCTCCTTTATACCAGAGATATTTTCACAACCACAAGCGTTCCTTTATTCTTCTGGATACAATGTGTTCCATTTTCATCCTCTGAAAACATGAAGGTTCCACAGATCAAAGAGAACCTGTTGCCCTTTCCTCCCACCGTACCTTTTTGTTTCATAGAGCCTGGTATTTTAGGTTGATTTAGTGAGGAATAAGTTCAGCTACAGATGTGAGAGAGAAGATGAATGATACAACCTACACTATACAGACGTATGAACACCTGACCACCATGCCTGTATGAGCTTGGTGGACATCCAGTTCCAAAACTTGGAGGAGGACGTTTGCTTTATTTACAACATTCCTTCTTCTCTGGGTCGTCGCTAGAGACCTTCACAACATGGGGGCCCTACTGATAGCTACACTATATGAACAAGAGCATATGGACACTTGATCATCATGTCTCTATGAGCTTGCTGGACATCCAGTTCCAAAACCTGGAAGTGGTTGTTGGCCTTAATCCCAACTCGCCTTCTTTGGGTCATCACCAGATACTTTCCCAGCATGGGGGGGGCTTACTGATAGCTACACTATATGGCCAAGAATTTGTGGACATCTGACCTTCACAACTATATGAGCTTGTTGGACATCTCATTCCAAAACCTGTGGAAGACTGAAGGGGAGGAGTCGGTATACCTGTGCAAGACTGAAGGGGAGGGGCCGCTACACTTGTGCAAGACTGGAGGGGAGGAGCTGGTACACCTGTGCAAGACTGAAGGGGAGGAGCCGCTACACTTGTGCAAGACTGAAGGGGAGGAGCCGGTACACCTGTGCAAGACTGGAGGGGAGGAGCTGGTACACCTGTGCAAGACTGAAGGGGAGGAGCCGCTACACTTGTGCAAGACTGAAGGGGAGGAGCCAGTACACCTGTGCAAGACTGGAGGGTAGGAGCCCGGTACACCTGCGCAAGACTGAAGGGGAGGATTTTGGAATGAATATTCATTGTGACGGGTTCTCTTTAATCAGAATTCCTCAGTATAAGGGCAGCGGGGGAGGTGCTTTTCTCTTGTTAGTGCGGTCAGATCCGGCAGCGCATTAGCGCGGTGTCTGTGTCCGATGATAACGCGGAGTTGTATTCAGGCTGAGTAAGCTTTGTTCTGACACACAATGCAGAAATCGATGACCTTTCCTCCCTGAAGACAAAGTGAGCGATCGGCAAAAAAAAAAGGCGGGTGTTCGGTTTCACCTCCCAGCTCTGGAGTGTGGGAATTAAGAGCCGCATGTGATCCTGATGGTAACATCTGCTAATGAGGAATGTGTGATGTTAGAAATTTAAAGGGTATGTACACCCCGAGAATGATTTCTTCTTATTGGCTTCCGTTTTTTCTGAACAGCGATATCATTGTGTAGATGGTCGGCGTAGACCTGGGCAGGGGGCGGGCTCATTCAGGGGTGTCAGCGGGGTGCGGTCAGCTACCTGTGCAAACTCTCCATTCCTTGTCCATTACGGCCTTCTGGATTAAAAGTCATTTGGAGGCTGTCTATGGGAAGGCCCCCCACAAGGTTTAGGAGGGTGTCTATGGGAAGGTTGGACCATTCTTCCAGAAGCACATTTGTCAGGTCAGGCACTGATGTCGGGGGAGGAGGCACTGAGGTCGGGGGGGAGGAGGCACTGATGTCGGTGGAGGAGGCCTGGCTCGCAGTCTCCGCTCTAATTCATCCCAAAGGTGTTCTATGGGGTTGAGGTCAGGACTCTGTGCAGGACAGTCAAGTTCCTCCACCCCAAACTGGCTCCTCCATGTCTTTATGGACCTTGCTTTGTGCACTGGGGGGGCAGTCATGTTGGAACAGGAAGGGGCCATCCCCAAACTCCTCCCACAAAGTTGGGAGCATGAAATTGTCCAAAATGTTGCCTTAAGAGTTCCCTTCACTGGAACTAGGGGGCCAAGCCCAACACCTGAAAAACAACCCCACACCATAATCCCCCCTCCACCAAACTTTACACTTGGCACAATGCAGTCAGGCAAGTACCGTTCTCCTGGCCACCGCCAAACCCAGACACGTCCATCGGATTGCCAGACAGAGAAGCGTGATTGGTCACTCCAGAGAACACGCCTCCACTGCTCCAGTGGCGGCGTGCTTTACACCACGGCATCGCCGCCGCTTTGCATTGCACTTGGTGATGGAAGGCTTGGATGCAGCTGCTCGGCCATGGAAACCCATTCCATGAAGCTCTCTACACACTGTTGTTGGGCTCATCTGAAGGCCACACCAAGTTTGGAGGTCTTTAGCTATTGACTCTGCAGACAGTTGGCGACTTCTGCGCACTGTGCGCTTCAGCATGCGCTGACCCCGCCCTGTCATGTGACGTGGCCTACCACTTGGTGGCTGAGTGGCTGTTGTTCCCAGTGGCTTCCACTTTGTTATAATCCCACTAACAGTTGAGCGTGGAATATTTAGTAGCCAGGAAATGTCACGGATGGACTTATTGCCCAGGTGGCCACCTATCACAGGACCACGCTTGGAGTCACTGAGCTCCTGAGAGCGACCCATTCTTTCACCAATGTTTGTAGAAGCCGTCTGCATGCCTAGGGGCTGGATTGTATACACCTGTGTGCATGGAGGGGATTGGAACACCTGAATCACATGATATGGAGGGGATTGGAACACCTGAATCACATTATATGGAGGGGATTGGAACACCTGAATCACATGATTGGAGGGGATTGGAACACTTGAATCATATGATATGGAGGGGATTGGGACACCTGAATCACATGATTGGGAGGGGATTGGAACACCTGAATCACATGATTTGGAGGGGATTGGAACACCTGAATCACATGATTTGGAGGGGATTGGAACACCTGAATCACATGATATGGAGGGGATTGGAACACCTGAATCACATGATATGGAGGGGATTGGAACACCTGAATCACATGATATGGAGGGGATTGGAACACCTGAATCACATGATTTGGAGGGGATTGGAACACCTGAATTACATGATATGGAGGGGATTGGATAACACCCCCCCCCCCCCCGTACAGCATGCCTGTCCTCCAATGGTCAGACTTCTGATGACACGCCCCCCTCCTGCACAGCCTGCCTGTCCTCCAATGGTCAGACTTGTGATGACACGCCCCCCCCCTCCTGCACAGCCTGCCTGTCCTCCAATGGTCAGACTTCTGATGACACGCCCCCCAGCTATACTCTAAATATGACCATTTCCTGTGTCGGATCTCCGCTGTCTCTCTGTATCTCTCATCCTACTTTCTGTATTTCTAATGATTCTAGTCATGTATTGGAATAAAAATGGGATTTTTTTTTTTTTAAGAATGTTGTGATTGGTTGTCGGACGAACTCTTCCAAAGTTCCTCGGGGAGTTTTGTATTTGAGAGTTCCGGCGTATCGGGGACCGAGCTGCACCGCCATCCCTTGTACCGCGGTCCCTCTGTATGGCACCCCAAGCATGGGTAGCAAATGTGCCAATATGTGCGCTGCAAAAAAATGCCCGATGCACCGCGACTGAAACGGTTCTGGATCTACTTTTGGTGCGTTTGTGAACTTCGAGTGAATGGGCTGCCTCAGGCATGGCGTGCGTTAGCACAAAAACGTTCCGGTGCGAATGGGACCTCGGGAACAATCCAGCCTGACCGGAAATAAGGGGGTGGGGAGGATGGACAGAAGTTCCTCTTTAAATACCAAGATTCTTTTTTTTCAGCAGAGCAGCTAAGAAGAGACTGGTAAACATGAAAGGGAGAATACATTTAACTCCGAACGTGAAGATGCTGAATCTTTAGATACAATATTTTATATTCACATTTCTATTTTTTCTTTAAATTTCTTTAAAACGTACTTTAAAAAATAAGGAAGTTACTCCCTTTAGAACAGTGATCTCCAAACTGCGGCCCGCGGGCCAGATGTGGCCCTTTGCTTGCATTTATCCGATCCTTGGGGCACTTTTTCTCCCACTGACACCAATGATGGAGCACTATTCCTCCCGCTGACACCAATGATGGGACACTATTCCTCCCACTGACACCAATGATGGGACACTATTCCTCCCACTGACACCAATGATGGGACACTATTCCTCCCACTGACACCAATGATGGGGCACTATTCCTCCCGCTGACACCAATGATGGGGCACTATTCCTCCCACTGACACCAATGATGGGGCACTATTCCTTCCACTGACACCAATGATGGGGCACTATTCCTCCACTGACACCAATGATGGGGCACTATTCCCCCCACTGATACCAATGATGGGGCACTATTCCTCCCACTGATACCAATGATGGGGCACTATTCCTCCCACTGACACCAATGATGGGGCACTATTCCTCCCACTGACACCGATGATGGGGCACTATTCCTCTACTGACACCAATGATGGGACACTATTCTTCCCACTGACACCAATGATTGGCACTATTCCTCCCACTGACACCAATGATGGGGCACTATTCCTCCCACTGACACCAATGATGGGGCACTATTCCTCCCACTGACACCAATGATGGGGCACTATTCCTCCCACTGATACCAACGATGGGGCACTGTTCCTCCGACTGACACCAATGATGGGGCATGACTCCTCCCACTGACACCAATGATGGGGCACTATTCCTCCCACTGATACCAATGATGGGACACTATTCCTCCCACTGACACCAATGATGGGACACTATTCCTCCCACTGACACCAATGATGGGGCACTATTCCTCCCACTGACACCGATGATGGGGCACTATTCCTCTACTGACACCAATGATGGGGCACTATTCCTCTACTGACACCAATGATGGGGCACTATTCCTCCCACTGACACCAATGATGGGGCACTATTCCTCCCACTGACACCAATGATGGGGCGCTATTCCTCTACTGACACCAATGATGGGGCACTATTCCTCCCACTGACACCAATGATGGGGCACTATTCCTCCCACTGACACCAATGATGGGGCACTATTCCTCTACTGACACCAATGACCAATGATGGGGCACTATTCCTCCCACTGACACCAATGATGGGGCATGACTCCTCCCACTGACACCAATGATGGGGCATGACTCCTCCCACTGACACCAATGATGGGGCATGACTCCTCCCACTGACACCAATGATGGGGCATTATTCCTCCCACTGACCACCAAGCCTAGTGTATGGATTACTCCCACCGTTGCTCGTGCATTTTCTGCTCCCATTGGTCACAATCTGGCCCCCCTAAAGTCTGAAGTCAGTAATCTGGCCGTTGGTGTCACACATTTGGGGCCCCCGGATGTGGAACATAAAGACGTTTAGAAGTTCGATGAGCTCACAATAGATCCGGAATTGTACGTGGAATGGAATATTCTGGGATGGCTCGGGTCCGTCACAGGCGGCTGGAAAGTCCCTTCCACAGTTTGCAGTCCTGTCAGCGGGACTCTTCACGAGCGGCAGAGCGAGGAACACGCACAACGCAGGAAGAAAAAAGTCGTCCATCAACAGATCGCTTTCATCCTCCGGAGATCTGCCAGCCGTCCGACAACGAGAAACGAGAAAACGAGAAACGAGAAAACGAGAAACGAGAAAACGAGACGCGACTTTCCTTTAAATAAATGTTTTATTCAATATTTCCAGAAACAAAAATATACAAACAGACAAAACGCATCGCAGAGAACAAATTTTACAAGTTTTCCTGGTCGATTTTAAATAGCGCACACGCACTCTTCTGGAAACCAGCACGGGATTGGCTCCTGCTGAGCAGGGCGGAGAGAAACGCAGGAAACCGACTTCTCCCCCCCCCCTCCCCCGCAGAACCAGGTCATTCACCCAACAATCGCACATTCACACCCAAAAACAGTGTAAAAAGAACATTCTTTACATCATTTATTATACAGGAAGTCGGGGATAATGGAGACGCAGAAATATCGATTCGCTTTACCAGGCGGCGGGCGCTACGCCGCGATTATCGCTGAAATGAGGGACTAGGAGACCGCCGATCGGCTTACTCAAGAAAGCGGCGACAATTACGGCACACAACCTGCGCCAGACCAGCAGAGGGCGCCTCACTGAAACCTGAGCCGTGATAGGGCCGTGTCGATTGGTTGGTACGGGTTAGGAAGCTAAATTCTGATTGGTTGATGGGAGATATCATAAGTTCTGATTGGTTTGCAGGAGCTATGACATTAATTTCTGATTGATTGCTGGAGGTTATGATGCTAAATTCTGATTGGTTGGTAGGGGTTAGGAAGCTAAATTCTGATGTGTTGGTGGGAGATATCATAAGTTCTGATTGGTTTGCAGGAGTTATGACACTAAATTCTGATTGGTTGGTGGGGGATATGAAGCTAAATTCTAATTGCTTGTTATGGGTTATGACATAAAATTCTGATTGGTTGCTATGGGTTATGACATTAAATTCTGATTGGTTGCTATGGGTTATGACATTAAATTCTGATTGGTTGCTATGGGTTATGACATAAAATTCTGATTGGTTGAGGGGCGGTTGTGATGATAAATTCTATCTGGTTCCCAGGGTCGCACTTTGCTTTCTTGAGTAAGCCGGGTAGCAGTCTGTGAAGGCACAGGGATACCGGAGAGCAGGAAGGCAGCAGCTGAACTCCTTATTGCCCTAAGAATAGAAAAACAAACTTTATATATTGCCATGAAGATAGAAGTGGAGCTGCAGCCTTTCTCAGCCGAGGAGCTGCTGTCAGGGTACCATCCGGGGAGGGGGGGGGGGGGGCTCTCAAAAATGAGATGAAACTAAAAAAAAAAAAAAATCTACACACCAGCCTTTCCCCACCGAGGTGCCATCCTCAGGGGCACTACCAGCCGGGAGATTTCTGTGACATCATTGCCTATATATATAGTCATGACCATATTTGGTCAGTGATGTCAGCCAACATGCCCCACCCCTTTGTGTAGCAGGCGGCCGAGGTGAGAGTCCAGCGGGAACACATCATCTCAGCACGTCATCACGTTGTATGTTGGCAGGTTGTCAGGAGTCATTCATTGTGATGGAGGAAGTGGTGGTGGACACCATGGGGTGTTGTATGTTGGCCGGTTCATTCATTGTGATGGTGGAAGTGGTGGTGGACACCATGGGGTGTTGTAGTTGGCCGGTTCATTCATTGTGATGGTGGAAGTGGTGGTGGACACCACGGGGGGTGTTGTAGTTGGCCGGTTCATTCATTGTGATGGTGGAAGTGGTGGTGGACACCATGGGGTGTTGTATGTTGGCCGGTTCATTCATTGTGAAGGTGGAAGTGGTGGTGGACACCATGGGGTGTTGTATGTTGGCCGGTTCATTCATTGTGAAGGTGGAAGTGGTGGTGGACACCATGGGGTGTTGTATGTTGGCCGGTTCATTCATTGTGAAGGTGGAAGTGGTGGTGGACACCATGGGGTGTTGTATGTTGTCAGGAGTCATTCATTGTGAAGGTGGAAGTGGTGGTGGACACCACGGGGTGTTGTAGTTGGCCGGTTCATTCATTGTGATGGTGGAAGTGGTGGTGGACACCATGGGGTGTTGTATGTTGGCCGGTTTATTCATTGTGATGGTGGAAGTGGTGGTGGACACCATGGGGTGTTGTATGTTGTCAGGAGTCATTCATTGTGATGGTGGAAGTGGTGGTGGACACCATGGGGTGTTGTATGTTGGCTGGTTCATTCATTGTGAAGGTGGAAGTGGTGGTGGACACCATGGGGTGTTGTATGTTGGCCGGTTCATTCATTGTGATGGTGGAAGTGGTGGTGGACACCATGGGGTGTTGTATGTTGGCCGGTTCATTCATTGTGATGGTGGAAGTGGTGGTGGACACCATGGGGTGTTGTATGTTGGCCGGTTCATTCATTGTGAAGGTGGAAGTGGTGGTGGACACCATGGGGTGTTGTATGTTGTCAGGAGTCATTCATTGTGATGGTGGAAGTGGTGGTGGACACCATGGGGTGTTGTATGTTGTCAGGAGTCATTCATTGTGATGGTGGAAGTGGTGGTGGACACCATGGGGTGTTGTATGTTGTCAGGAGTCATTCATTGTGATGGTGGAAGTGGTGGTGAACACCATGGGGTGTTGTATGTTGGCCGGTTCATTCATTGTGATGGTGGAAGTGGTGGTGGACGCCATGGGCTGTTTTATGTTGGCCGGTTCATTCATTGTGATGGTGGAAGTGGTGGTGGACACCGCAGGTGTTTTTTTGGGGGTTTTAGGCCCCTTTCCAATGTGGGAGGCATGTGTTCCTGGTGTGGTTTGGGGGTGCGCATGTTCCCTTCCCTGGCCAGCCAGATTCTGGTGTAGATTTTGGGCAACCCCCTCCCCCAATATAGTTTTTTTCTCCTGTTGCATGGGGTCCCCCTTAAAATCGTAATCAAGGATAAGGGTTTGGCCTGGATTTTGGAAGCTCTCACATCATTTTTTTTTTTTTTCCATTTTAGACTGAGGTCCCTCAAGATCTTAAATACTTTTAAAGGGCGCCGTAAAGGTTAAGAAACACCGTTCCGGTGCACACGCTAAAGGCAGCCATTTTTTTGCGCCCTGGGCCATCACAATTTGGTCTACTGGCTGGTGACCTCATATGGACACAAGATTCCCAATTTCGGTCCTATGAGCCCATTTTTGGAGGCCTAGAATTGGGATAGGAAGAGAATTCCTTCTGCTTTAAGGCCTAGTTTTTACCACCCCAAGTTGTGAAGGCAGGAGGAGGGGCGGACTGACAATTCATGGGGTCCCTGGGCAATAGGGGATCATGGGGCCCCTGTGTCCTTGCCCACACCCAAAAAAGCCTATGAAAAAGCCAAGGAAAGGTACCAGGGGCATCTCATGGGGCCCCCTACTGACCCCGGGCCCTCCCAGTCGAGCTGTGATCTTCAAAAGGATTCCGCAGGCTTTAAAGATAATCTTCCTGTTTTCTCAGCAACAAATCCCTCAGACACACCTACAGGTTCGTCCTTCTGGGAGATACAGCGTTTCAAAATGGCTGCCTTCAGCACCCGCGCGGCAAACGGCGCCCCTTGAAAGGAAAGACTGCGGCAAAAAATGTAACGCCACGGTGTCCTGTCATTGACTAAACTTGACCTCATCCTGACAGCTGACCCTCCATGCGTGTGATTGGCTGCTGGCGAGGGCCGTGGGATCCTAAGGGGCGGGGTCAGCGGTATTTTGAAGCCTTCAGCCTGGTATAGGTCCGTCCCCGCGGGAAGGTTGTTCGTGGCAGCCGTGGCTTTGTACAAAGAACCTTCGTCAGGCACAAGTCAGATAAGTCGTTGATGCAGCCGATTCCTCGGGAGGGCGAATTCCAGATGGTCGTCGGATTGAGGGGGGGTCTCACCATTGGCTGTACGGGGAATTCGACTAAAACAGAAGGAAAAGAAAAATGTAAAATTTAATTTCAAGAATTCCACAAGTCGCAAAAGTACGTTTTCATTTCAATTTTATTACAAAGAAGAAGAAGCGGAGAAAAAAAGATGAAAGATGAAATTATATATATATTATTATTATACAGGATTTATGGCGCCAACAGTGTGCTCAGCGCTTTACAATATAACGGGAGACAATACAGCAACAATACAGATCAATACAAGAGGGATAGGAGGGGCTGATCCTGGGAGCTTACAATCTAAGAGGGAGGGGCTGATCCTGGGAGCTTACAATCTAAGAGGGAGGGGCTGATCCTGGGAGCTTACAATCTAAGAGGGAGGGGCTGATCCTGGGAGCTTACAATCTAAGAGGGAGGGGCTGATCCTGGGAGCTTACAATCTAAGAGGGAGGGGCTGATCCTGGGAGTTTACAATCTAAGAGGGAGGGGCTGATCCTGGGAGCTTACAATCTAAGAGGGAGGGCCTGATCCTGGGAGCTTACAATCTAAGAGGGAGGGGCTGATCCTGGGAGTTTACAATCTAAGGGGGAGGGGCTGATCCTGGGAGTTTACAATCTAAGAGGGAGGGGCTGATCCTGGGAGCTTACAATCTAAGAGGGAGGGGCTGATCCTGGGAGCTTACAATCTAAGAGGGAGGGCCTGATCCTGAGAGCTTACAATCTAAGAGGGAGGGCCTGATCCTGGGAGTTTACAATCTAAGAGGGAGGGGCTGATCCTGGGAGTTTACAATCTAAGAGGGAGGGCCTGATCCTGGGAGCTGACAATCTAAGAGGGAGGGCCTGATCCTGGCAGTTTACAATCTAAGAGGGAGGGGCTGATCCTGGGAGCTTACAATCTAAGAGGGAGGGGCTGATCCTGGGAGCTTACAATCTAGGAGGGAGGGGCTGATCCTGGGAGTTTACAATCTAGGAGGGAGGGCCTGATCCTGGGAGTTTACAATCTAGGAGGGAGGGGCTGATCCTGGGAGTTTACAATCTAGGAGGGAGGGGCTGATCCTGGGAGCTGACAATATCAGAGGGAGGGGCTGATCCTGGGAGCTTACAGTCTAAGAGGGAGGGGCTGATCCTGGGAGTTTACAATCTAGGAGGGAGGGGCTGATCCTGGGAGCTTACAATCTAAGAGGGAGGGGCTGATCCTGGGAGCTTACAATCTAGGAGATTATATATATAAAATGATTAATATACATGAATGCGATATAATATATTAACACACATTAATGATTGTATTTACATATATAAATATATATAATAATTAATGATAATAATATTAATAAAACATTATTATAAAGAAGAAGAAATAAAAAATGTATATATATATATAAATTTTAATTCATGAGATATATTGATGCACATTAATAATTGTATATATATATATAATTAGTATTAATAATAGTAATATTAATACATTATTATAAAGAATAAGAAAGAAGCAGAGAAAAAAGAAGTAAGAAGAAGAAATTATATCTATATATAAATATTTAATGATTGATATAAATTAATTATATATCTATATAAAATGATTCTTGGGGAGTTAATAAAAACCCATCCGGTGTGCATGAGGCCCAAGGGGTACAAGTCCAGGCAGTGCTGACTGAGAGGGTGACGTTCTGCTTTAGTAATATATACATAGAATATTTTCCCATTATTTGTTTCTTCTGCTGGTTTCGATTGTTGCATCACAAATCCCTCCCCCTCGTCCAGAACTTCTTCATTTTTTCAAGTTTCATTGTTAATAGGACAAATTACACCAAAACTGGATTTTTACAAAATCTACGTTAATACTGTTTTAAAAGATGGGCCTAACTGCAAAAAAAAAAAATATTTTTCTTAATTTTTTTTGTCTTTAGATTGCTTATACAATATTGTTTTGCAAGACAATGTAAGCAAAATAAAGCTTCAACTGTTGAAAAAACAAACAAACTATCACTGTGCAACCTAAGGGGTTAATCCTCCGCACTGTGTAAAACCGCAGTTTGATCCTGTCTTCTCTGATCCTCCCCTTCCTCCAGTGCCCCTCCTCTTATCTCCTGACAGGAAATAACAGGAGACACTCTGCACATGCTCAGTTTGGTGTGTATTGCTAGAGAGGGTTTTTTTTTTTTCCCATGGGAGACTGCATGTGATCAGCACAGAGCCAATCAGCAGATATATTGAATGCGGGGTCCAGGGAGAGTGGATATAGTGAATGCGGGGTCCAGGGAGAGCGGATATAGTGAATGCGGGGTCCGGGGAGAGCGGATATAGTGAATACGGGGTACGGGGAGAGCGGATATGGTGAATGCGGGGTACGGGGAGAGCGGATATGGTGAATGCGGGGTCCGGGGAGAGCGGATATAGTGAATGCGGGGTCCGGGGAGAGCGGATATGGTGAATGCGGGGTCCGGGGAGAGCGGATATAGTGAATGCGGGGTCCGGGGAGAGCGGATATAGTGAATGCGGGGTCCGGGGAGAGCGGATATAGCGAATGCGGGGTCCGGGGAGAGAGGATATAGGGAATGCGGGGTCCGGGGAGAGCGGATATAGTGAATGCGGGGTCCGGGGAGAGCGGATATAGTGAATGCAGGGTCCGGGGAGAGCGGATATAGTGAATGCGGGGTCCGGGGAGAGCGGATATAGTGAATGCGGGGTCCGAGGAGAGCGGATATAGTGAATGCGGGGTCCGGGGAGAGCGGATATAGTGAATGCAGGGTCCGGGGAGAGCGGATATAGTGAATGCGGGGTCCGGGGAGAGCGGATATAGTGAATGCGGGGTCCGAGGAGAGCGGATATAGTGAATGCGGGGTCCGGGGAGAGCGGATATAGTGAATGCGGGGTGACAGTCCGGAATCCTCTCCCTATCTCTGTCACTGGTGGTCATACCTGTCCGTTGTTTGCGGCGTGGCGGTTTTGATTGCTGAAGGCGTCCTCGGCCCGCAGTGTGGAGTTCCCGCTCACGGCTGGGTGGGTGTTGGCAGTGGCTCTGGGGATTATGATGTCATACGGAACTTCTGCCTGTGGACAAAGACAAGCAAAAAGGTTTAATATGAAAAAAGGCGAATCCATCGATCTCAAACCAATAACGATAAATCGCACGGAATGCGGTAAATATTCGATGCCGGAACCCTGAGCTGTGTGATTGGAGGTGGGTAGGGGGCGGAAACAAGGGATGGTGCTCGGAGGTGGGTAGGGGCGGAAACAAGGGATGGTGCTGGGAGGTGGGTAGGGGGCGGAAATAAGGGATGGTGCTGGGAGGTGGGTAGGGGCGGAAACAAGGGATGGTGCTCAGAGATGGGTAGGGGGCAGAAACGAGATGGTGCTCGGAGATGGGTAGGGGCGGAAACAAGGGATGGTGCTGGGAGGTGGGTAGGGGGCAGAAACAAGGGATGGTGCTGGGAGGTGGGTAGGGGGCAGAAACAAGGGATGGTGCTGGGAGGTGGGTAGGGGCGGAAACAAGGGATGGTGCTGGGAGGTGGGTAGGGGGCAGAAACAAGGGATGGTGCTGGGAGGTGGGTAGGGGGCAGAAACAAGGGATGGTGCTGGGAGGTGGGTAGGGGCGGAAACAAGGGATGGTGCTGGGAGGTGGGTAGGGGGCAGAAACAAGGGATGGTGCTCGGAGCAGGGGCAGACTGACCATTTGGAAACTTGGGCACTGCCTGAGGGCCCAGGGTCAGTAGGGGGCCCCATGAGATGCCCCTGGTACCTTTTTCATAGGCTTTTTTTTGAGTTTGGGCAAGGACACAAGGGTCCCATGATCCCCTATTGCCCGGGGACCCCATGAGTTGTCAGTCTGCCCCTGGCTCGGAGGTGGGTAGGGGGCGGAAGCAAGGGATGGTGCTCAGAGGTGGGTAGGGGGCGGAAACAAGAGATGGTGCTCTGAGGTGGGTAAAGGGCGTAAACAAGGGATGGTGCTCAGAGGTGGGTAGGGGGTGGACACAAGGGATGGTGATCAGAAGTGGGTAGAGGAGGAACCAAGGGATGGTGCTCGGAGGTGCGTAGGGGTGGAGACAAGGAATGGTGCTCGGAGGTGGGTAGGGGGCAGAGACAAGGGATGGTGATCGGAGGTGGGTAGGGGCAGAAACAAGGGATGGTGCTCGGAGGTGGGTAGGGGCAGAGACAAGGAATGGTGCTCGGAGGTGGGTAGGGGTGGAGACAAGGGATGGTGCTCGGAGGTGGGTAGGGGGCAGAGACAAGGGATGGTGATCGGAAGTGGGTAGGGGTGGAACCAAGGGATGGTGCTCAGAGGTGGGTAGGAACGGACACAAGGGATGGTGCTTGGAGATGGGTAGGGGGCGAAAACAAGAAATGGTGCTAGGAGGTGGGTAGGGGGCGGAAACAAGGGATGGTATTCGGAGGTGGGTAGGGGCAGAGACAAGGATGGTGCTCAGAGGTGGGTAGGGGGCAGAGACAAGGGATGGTGCTCGGAGGTGGGTAGGGGGCAGAGACAAGGGATGGTGCTCGGAGGTGGGTAGGGGGCGGAGACAAGGGATGGTGCTCGGAGGTGGGTAGGGGGTGGACACAAGGGATGGTGCTCGGAGGTGGGTAGGGGCAGAGACAAGGATGGTGCTCAGAGGTGGGTAGGGGGCAGAGACAATGGATGGTGCTCGGAGGTGGGTAGGGGGCAGAGACAAGGGATGGTGCTCGGAGGTGGGTAGGGGGCAGAGACAAGGGATGGTGCTCGGAGGTGGGTAGGGGGCGGAGACAAGGGATGGTGCTCGGAGGTGGGTAGGGGGTGGACACAAGGGATGGTGCTCGGAGGTGGGTAGGGGCAGAGACAAGGATGGTGCTCAGAGGTGGGTAGGGGGGGTGGGAGACAAGGGATGGTGCTCGGAGGTGGGTAGGGGCGGAGACAAGGGATGGTGCTCGGAGGTGGGTAGGGGGCGGAGACAAGGGATGGTGCTCGGAGGTGGGTAGGGGCGGAGACAAGGGATGGTGCTCGGAGGTGGGTGGGGTGGAGAGAAGGGGTGGCTTGGAATGAGAGAATTCCTGAACCTAATCTCTGAGAAAGCTACATATATATCTACACACACAGTATACATAGTGTATATAAATATATATATATATAAAATGAATATTATGGATATTATTATAAATATTGTTATTATTATTATTATTACATTATACAATATATTTTCTGGCGACAACTAAAGGGAACAAATGCCTCCAGACAGCAATGAAGACCTGACAGGGGGTCCAGCCCTCCCCCACTCTCCCAGAACACATGGAACCTTTTCATTCTGGGTGGGGGGAAGTTCAGAGCCCCATAAAACGATCCTTCCTTTCTGAACGGCTACAACGTATCAAACAAGATGGTTCTCGTTGGCCGGTCGCAGACGTCCCGATCTATTCTGGGAAGGTATTTATTGTACCGGAGTGGAGTGGCCCTTTAAGAAGCGGCGTCTCGGTGTTGGCAGGGCGCGGGGCCCGCCGTGAATAGTCTGCAGAGTCACCGAGTCACCGCACCGGAGAGGAAAGACATTGGCGGGGAGAGGCGCATCGCAGACGGGGGCCCCGGGCCCCAGCTTACCGTGTTCTTGTTCATGAGCGCCATCTCCGTGGGCTGGTACACGCTGCTCCTGATCTGCCCGTTGTACCCGCTGTAGGGCGACACCGGCTTCTTGGCTGCTGGAAAACAAAAGCCGAGTAACGATCACCTTGTGTGTGAACAGGACAGAATGTATCCATTGTGCGATATTCTGTACATTGTATCCGCGGGGAGCGCGTTACATTGTATCCGTGACGTCACACGTGGTGACTAACGAGAGCCGCGTACACACGGGATGAGAAAAAGACGCAAATCGCAGCTTACCTGTCCTTCGGGTGACGGCTGCATTCCTTTTCTTGTTTTCAGATTTTTTTCCCCCATTTATTTCCACCCGGTGATCCCGCCAGTAACACATTCCCTGTCATCGGGTGACAACGCTCATTCACTGCACTGTATCCACAAAGGAGCAACGTTGTCACCTTAGGACAGGAAATGCTACAGAACAGCTCTCCCCTCCTCTTCTTCTTCAGTGCTTGTCAACCTATGAGCCAAAGGGGGCCCGAAATGTGGCCCCTGACATCACCAAAGGACCCCACACGGACCTAATAGAGGAGATGAGGGTCAGAGAGTGTGGACAGGATGTAATGTTGACTGGGGATATGCTGCAGAAGACCAAGGGCCACACATCATATACCAAAGGGCCACATGCGGCCCTCGGGCCACAGGTTGGGCACCCAGGACATAGAGGGCAGGGGATGGATGGATGGAGACATGGGTGGGTGGATGGATGGATGGATGGAGACATGGAGGGATGGATGGTTGGCGGGATGGATGGATGGAGACATGGAGGGGTGGATGGAGACATGGTTGGATGGATGGTTGGAGGGATGGATGGATGGAGACATGGAGGGATGGATGCATGGATGGAGACATGGTTGGATGGATGGATGGTTGGAGGGATGGATGGAGATATGGGTGGGTGGATGGATGGATGGAGACATGGTTGGATGGAGACATGGTTGGATGGATGGTTGGAGGGATGGAGACATGGAGGGATGGATGGAGGCATGGAAGGAGGGATGGATGGATGGATGGAGGGATGGAGGGATGGATGGATGGGGGAGATTGCTTTGAATATTAAAAATAAATAAAATAGTCTTCTCAGTCTGTGGTTGTCACCTTAGGACAGGAAATGCTACAAAACAGCAACCCCCCTCCTCCCCTTGTCAACTTATGAGCTAAAGGGCGCCTGAAATGTGGCCCCTGACATCACCAAAGGACCCCACACAGACCTAATAGAGGAGATGAGGGTCAGAGAGTGTGGACAGGAAGTATTGTTGACTGGGGATATGCTGCAGAAGACCAAGGGCCACACATCATATATCAAAGGGCCACATGCGGACCTCAGGGCACATTTTGGGCACCCAGGACATAGAGGGTGGGGGGGGGGTTGTAATCCTCAGAGTTAGCTGGCAACGATGTAACTAAGGCTCCGTGCACATCTGGAGATTTGGGATCAAGGGTGGAATCGCCGCGTTTCTGCTCACGATTCCAAAACGCACGGAACTCCTGGAAAGCGCACCGTGCGTGTTTGTGTGCCGTTCATTGTTAATGGCACCTAAAGCGGTTTTGCTGCGATTGAAGCTCCTGCTCCTGTTTGGGTGACGAGCTGCAGGCAAAGCGGTTCACCGCCACTGCCGCACGATCATTTGCGCGACAATCGCGGCAGAACTGCCTCCTGCTTTAGGTGCCATTAAAAACGAGTGGCACACAAACACGCACGGGGCGCTCTGACAGGAGTGCGGTGCGATTCAGAGTCGTGGGCAGAATTGTGGTGATCCCAGATCACTGGGGCCTTAGCCTTATGCAGGCCATACATGGGTCGAAAATCGGCCAATTTTCACACCGTTAGTGGGTTAATTGGTCGGCTGTTTTTCGGGGTTTTGGCACATTTTTTTATCGGTCAAGTTGGAAAATTCGTGGCCGATTTTGACGATCGGCCGATTTTCCCGGCTATGATGGGCAAATCTGCCGATCGTTTTACCGATAAAAAATCTGCGCATGAGCCGTGACCTGGAAGAGGAAGAAGAATTCCAGTCCGCTGTTATATTTTATATGTCAAGTCTTGGGGTTGCAACAATGTATCTATTTGTATCCAAATAAAAACATCTGTATCCGAAATGAATACAAATAGATACAAATAGATACATTGTTGCAACCGCAAGACTTTTTCATGTCAAATATAATAGCGGAGCTCTCTGCAAGGGACAGAAGTAATTAAATGCAGACGGGACGAAAATCGGCCAATTTTTTTACCGTTGGTGGTAATGTCGGCCGATCTAATGACCGATTTTTCTTTTTTTTTTAATAAAAAAACTTTCGGTTTTTGACCCGTCTATGACCTGCATTAGTTACATTTTTGCCAGCTATCTCTGAGGATTACAGCCCCCCCCCCCCCCCGCCCAACCTGTGGCCCTAGGTGCACGTGGTGCGCTTTTGGCAGGATTGCAGTGTGATTCGGAATCGCGGTGATCCCAAACCTTCAGACTTGAAAGGGCCCTAAAAATGCAGCAGAGGCAAAAATCGCAGAAAGGGGAGGCGGCCTGTTCAAATCTCACGTACGGGGAAGGAGCGTTCCTGTTCGTGATTTTAATGAGCGCGATTTACGCACATTTCCACAGATTCCACGCATGGGGCAACGTAATCACTTCAATAGGCTGCCCTATGCGTGTTTGTCGCCCACAAGAAGCTCCTTTATTGGCCGATGAGCTTCACGTGATTTCCAGGCGATTCTGTTGCATGCATGACCAAAAAAAAAAAATCGTGTTTGGGGTGCTGTTAAGAAATAGGCTCCGTTCACACTTGTGCGACTTATCACGCGACTTTGCGAAATCCAAGCTGCAGAACATTCTTTTCGATGGCGATTGTTGAAATCGGTGCGACTCAAAGATGCAGCGACTTTGGAAAGGTGTCTGCTGCTACTTTGTTGCAAGAGAGTGTAGAGTTGGATCACCTGGAAATCATGTGACTGTGGAGTCGCTCCAGTGTGAATGGAGTCATATGGCGCCCAAACACGCATTGCGCTTTTATTTACCACAGTTTGGAATCGCAGCGATCCTGTCGAGCGATTCCAAATCCCCGAGTGTGATCGTTGGCAACAATGTAACTGATAAAGGTGCAGAAGAGAGCAAAGTAAGTTTTCAGCTCACTGGAATCTGGCAGTCTAACCCCCCCAGGGGCGGACTGACCATTTGGGAACTCGGGCAGTGCCCGAGGGCCCGGGGTCAGTAGGGGGCCCCATGAGATGCCCTTGGTACCATTTCATAGGCTTTTTTTGAGTGTGGTCGAGGACACAGGGGCCCCATAATCCCTTATTGCCCGGGGGCCCCATGAGTTGTCAGTCCACCCCTGAACCAGACTAAACAGAAGTTCATTGCTGATGGCGACCCACACTTTAGACTGAACGACTATCTGCCATTTTGAGTTCACGTCCCGATGACAGCCACCTTCCGTGCTTCTTGTAGGGGTGTCACTGGGACAGGAAGTAAGGGAAAATCTTCCCACTGAGGTCACAGCTCGGAGGCAAAACATGACAGGTATTTGAACCCTTCCAAAACAAAAAAAAAAAAAAGGGAGTTAGAGATTAGCAGGCAATTCACTGAATGTGACGCGCCCCTTACGAACTGCTCTTTCAATGGGTCATGTGATCATCACCAACTGACAAAAGTGACAGCTCCTTTAAATACAACTACAATCAGAGGTTCATCTCAAAGGGTGTTGGGTTTGGAACTTAGCAGAGACAATACTAGAGCTCAGGATCTCCATATTTGTGTAGGCCTCAACCCAACCAAACCCAACAGAAGGCCAGATGGCCCTAAAATGTGAACTTCTGATTGAGCGTGGCAAGGACATTAGGGACAGACAGTGACTCCGGAGACAGACAGTGACTCCGGGGACAGACAGGATTCTATGTGTTCTGGATGACCACAGGGACTAGATAAGCTTTCAAACTGCTTCAGTCATCCGGTGAAGGAGTAAAATCATCATCTGCTTACCTGCTTGCGACTCGTCCATAGAAAAGGCTTTGTTCTCCACGTACATGCTCTGAGAACCTTGTTCCTTGAGGATGGTTTCATAACCCACGCCTCTTGTCGTGTAGAGCTCCTCTTCGAAAGTCTGCTCCAGGCTCGGTTTGGTCAGCTGAGAGATCTCGGGAATAATGTAGAGGAAGATGAAGGCCCAGGCGTTGGATACAAGAGCGATGGCCAACGTTGGGTCATCCCAGTACACTGGGTCTCCAACCTGGATGTTTCCATAAACGTACATAACAATCCAAACGATCCAAATGCAGGCAGAGAGACAAAAAGGGTGATGATGATGAAAGCCGAATGCTTCTTCCAGTGGCCGTATCGCCCGCTCAGTGCCGGCCAGCAGGTCACAAATCCGGCCACAATGAGGAACATGACGTAAATCAGAGCCATGACGAAATCCTGGTTTTCAATGGCACATGGAGCTCCTGGGGTGCCCGTTGTCCGTACAATGGTGACAATGAGCCATTCGGTGTTAATGATGACTTCTACGAGAGAAAGGGCCAAAGCAATGCCGAAAATGGTCCAGCCGCTCGGCCCCTTGTTCCTTCTCACCAGGTAGTTGAGGTTAATTGCGTGCGCCCACAAACATGAGAAGCAGATGCCAAAGAGCACTCCAAAGAGGAACCTCCTTGACGCACAAGTGGAGAAGTATTTTTGGACTATCATATCAAAGACCAAACAGAAGAGGCCAAAGGTGCCGATAAGGAAGAACACCTGAGTTCCCAGCATGCTTTTCTTCCTCTTGTCCTGGATAAATGGGATGCTGGCTAACAGAACAATGGTTAGGATGAACGAGGCCACAATGCCAGCACTGGTAATAGCTTCTAGAACAATACCCCATACAGAGGAAAGGTCACATAAATAGTAATATATTGAGTTGATGTTTCCACATCCTGCTGGAGGAGTCTGCGCATCTGTCAAATGTAGGAAACCAGACAGAAGCAAAATGGAAACCAAAAATGTCCAAGAGGTGGAGAGGTTTGTTGAACTAGCCATGTCCTGCAACAAAAAGAAGAAAGATTACTGAAGACAATCCATGACCAGTGCATCTGTTACCTTTTATAATGTTATATAAGGAATATGTGTAAAGTTTGTCCCGTAACGATCATAATGTTGTCAATAATCAAGAAAACTTGTTACAAATGTACTTTTAAAAAAACAAATTATATGTACAGGACATGGTTTGACCAGTTTGGTGTGGAGGAACTCGAGTGTAGGTTTGAGGTCCTTGAGGAACTCAAGTGTCCTATACAGAGACGTGACCTCAGCCCTACTTTTGGAAGACCTTTAGGATCAGGTCTTCTCATTCCATTGGTGTACAATAGCTTTGATGTCATAGAGGAACGTGAGTGTCCTGCACAGAGCCGAGACCTCAACCCTACTTTTGGAAGAACTTTGGGATCAGGTCTTCTCATTCCATTGGTGTTCAATAGGTTTGATGTCATAGAGGAACGTGAGTGTCCTGCACAGAGCCGAGACCTCAACCCTACTTTAGGAAGAACTTTGGTATAGGGTCTTCTTATCCAGCATTGGCACCTGCCCTTAACCCTGCAAAACAGCTTTGGGATGAGGTCTTTTCTTCCTAAAGGTGTTCAGTAGATTTGAGGTCCTGGAGGAATTCAAGTCTCCTGCACAGAGCCCAGACGTTAGCCTTTTGGAAGACCTTTGGGATCAGGTCTTCTCATTCCATAGGTATTCAGTAGGTTTGATGTCATAGACGAACTTGAGTGTCCTCCACAGAGCCCTGACTTCAACCCTACTTTTGGAAGACCTCCGGTCTTCTTGTACAGCATCCAGCTAGTGGTGTATTTAGGTTTTGTGCTGCCCTAGGCAACCTGACAGTGATCAGCAACACCCCTGCCACATCCCCCCACCTGAGAGAGCCTTCCACTAACACCCCCCCCCCCACACACACAGTGACAGAGAGAAAGACACACACTTTCACAGCTCTGATCATCCCCGGGAACAACAGTTAGGCTCTGCATGCACCATCAAGCAGCCTGGAGCCTCTCTCGGATCCCACAGGGTCCCCATGTAGTATATGTCCCTTCTTCCAGGGGGCAGTGCTGCCTCCCTAAATAATGCCGCCCTAGGCAAATGCCTTGTGGTGAATACGCCACCTGCCCTTAACCCTACAGAACAACTTTGGGGTGAGGTATTTTCTTCCCAAAGGTGTTCAGTAAGTTTGAGGTCCTGGAGGAGCTCGAGTGTCCTGCACAGAGCCCAGACCTAAACCCTACTTTTGGAAGTCTTTTGGTATAGGGTCTTCTTATACAACATCCAGCCCTTAACCCTACAAAACAGCTTTGGGATGAGATCTTTTCTTCCTAAAGGCGTTTAGTAGGTTTGAGGTCCTGGAGGAACCCTAACTTCAACCCTACTTTTGGAAGACCTTTGGTATAGGGTCTTCTCATTCCAAAGGCTTTCAGCAGGGCTGCAATCATAAAAGAACTCAAGTACTCTGCACAGAGCCCTGACCTCAACCCTTCTGAACACCTCTGGGATGAATTGGACCACTGATGGTGAGCCAGGGATTCCTCATCCAACCCACAAAGACACTCAAAAATCTTCTGGAAAGCCTTTGAGGATGTTATAGTTGTAAAGGGGAGCAACTTCATATTAAGGGCCATGGTTGCTTCTGAACCCAGCAAACCCATTGATTGAATGATTGTAGATAAGCCCATGACAACAAGGTCTCGTTCACACCATAGCGCATCCATTAGTAGACATGTTCGGTTCGTTTCATTCTGAATCGAATTTCGGATTTATTTTTTTGTTATTCGGAGATTCAGATGTATCATAATTACAAATTACAAAAATAAAAAATATAAACTAATCCTAAATAATGCAACGAAATTCGGCTAAAATTCAAATCGAAGACAAGTTTGAATTTAAAAACAATATCGAACAAACATTTGAAAACCAATTTCAAGCGGAGCTCCACTCAAGTTCTGCTGTAAGGACTATTTGCCCATTCCCTGTAGGGGTTTTCTGGGTGGGAAATGTCTCAGACAAATTTGCATATTTTTGAATAATCCCACACTGCTTGGGGGCTGAGCCAAGGAAAGGAGTAGGCAAATTAGTATGCAAAATAGGGTGACCATGGTCCTTTGCAATTGGATCAGAACACTCTCTCTAATGTGCAACAACAACAAAAGGAGTATGGTGTATGTATAGCAAGCCCCATGGAATGGGTTTCTATGGCTGAACAGTTGCATCTGAGTCTTATATTACCAAATGCACCTTTTGGCTAAGATCAAGTGTAGTATCTGTTCTTATCAGTGTCCAGTGGGGGTGCTCCCGACCATTCTAGTTTACGGGGATGGTTGTTGTATAGTACCCTCACTGGTATGATGGGGGTCCGGAAGGCTAGTACCGGAGGGACAGAAACCAGGGAGCGCCATGATTCGTTCTGGGGCCTTGGGAGTAATTCCTCTGGGGAGACCAGAAAGACCCAGTACCTCCTGATCTGAACGTGCTACCTTGGTCTGGCCTGGGGCTGGGGACGCAAAAAGTCCGCAAACTCAGTGCCCCCTGGGGAAGACGCTCTCAGGGGTGTCACTAGTAACACTTGGGTGTGGGACCCCACGGTGTGAAGATGACACATGGCCACTGTTTTTCACTTCTTTTTGCACAGCGCCCTAAGGACCAGCTCTTTTGGCTAAGTCCAGGGCAATTTTTGCTACAGGCCTCAGGGCCTGGTCTGTGCACTATTAGGCACGGTACCACTTTTTTATTTTATTCTATTTATTTAAACCACTCCCACGTTTTGTCACTTTTTCTGTTCTTATGTGTGTGTTTTTCACGGATGGAGGGTGTGGGTCCTCGGGCCTTACCTGAAGTCTAGGGGGAGGATGTGTGGCCATACGGTTCCTTCCTCCCCTGATCCCTAGGGGGTTTTCTCTTCGGGAGAACCCCCTTGCCTAGTACTGGATGTCCGGCTTCGGCTGGGCATAAGGAACGGTGGTCCACCAGGCCTTTTGGCCAGGAGGACCAAATGGGAACCTTGTCCCTGTCAGGAGCTTCGTGCCCCGGGGGATCGGGTGAACGGTCCAACCCTTTCGGGGGTAGGACAAACACACCCCTAAGTGCACGTTTTTCGTGTGTGTGTTCTTGCACTTGCACTTTTTTGCGGACACTTACGGGTTTTTACGTTATAGTTGCACGTTTGCGGACTTAAAAAAAAAAATTACCAAATGCAATGCAAAGGGTTGGATGCTGTGGTGTAAAGCATGCTGCCACTGGAGTCTAGAGCATGGCGATGTTTCTGGAGAGACCAATCATGCTTTTCTGTCTGGCAATCTTATGAATATGTCTGGGTTTGGTGGTTTCCAGAACATTACTTGCTTGACTGCATTGTGTAAAGTTTGGTGGAGGGGGGATTATGGTGTGGGGGTGCTTTTCAGGGGTTGGGCTTGGCCCCCTAGGTCCAGTGAAGGGAACACTTTAGGCGACAATTTTATGCTCCCAACTTTGTGGGATGGGGCACACCAGTGCACAAAGCAAGGTCCATAGAGACATGGAGGAGCCAGTTTGGGGTGGAGGAACTTGACTGTCCTGCACAGAGTCCTGACCTCAACCCCATAGAACACCTTTGGGATGAATTAGAGCGGAGACTGCGAGCCAGGCCTCCTCCCCCGACATCAGTGCCTGACCTCACAAGATGGCCATGCTACAAAGAGACAATTACAAGCACAATGTTTCCCATCTAACAGTCTAATTTCCTTCAATTAACAATGTAACCCTTTCAGCTCTGGGATTTGCACCCCACAGGGAGGGCTGCCCGGGGCAGTAAAGTGTTAAAGCCGCCTTCAGCTCAGGGCATGGCTGGGAACACATGACTGCACCTTGCTGGGGTTTGGTAAATACAAACTAGTTTCTGCCAGCGGGAGTCAAAGTTTACACACAAGCATCAGAGTTCCAGCAGGAGGGCTTTGTCTCTGTCCTCACGCTGCACAATGCGCCATCTCACTGAATAGCCCTCGGAGGGCGCCGTTGCACTCATGGATAATCTTTTTAGTGGAATTGGTTGGTGTTTCTATAGGCATTAAAAAAAGTTAATAAAAGCCCTGAAACAAAAGCAAGATATAAATCTGGGGTCACACGGGGTTAAATCTGCGGGCTTTACTCCAGAGGGAGGATGAATCCATGCAAGGTCCCAGGGACATCATTTTATTCAAGGGATCTGCCTGTGGCTCTCACTTAAAGGGCATGTAGACCCCAACAATGAACTTCCTTTATGTATTCGTTTTGGTTTTCTAAGCGTTTTGTTGTATCTGATTGAGAAGAATACATTTTTTTTTTTAAAGTTGGTTAAAAAACGAACAAAAAAAGTGCAAAACACCAACACAAAAAAGTACACTTAGGGGTGTGCTCTAGTCCACAGACCTCTACCCTGTGGGGCGCAAGGCTCCTGACAGGGACTGAGGTTTCCATCATGGTCCAACAAAGGGGTCCACCAGAAGGCTTGGCGGACCCCTTTCCTTGTGGCTAGCCAAAGCCGACCACCAAGTACTAGGGGGGCACTCCTGAAGAGAACAGGGGAGGAAGGAACCAAAAGGCCACACATCTAATTTAGGGGGTGCTGAATCCTCAAAATACATGGCTTGTCTAAACTGAAATCGGAATCTGTACTTCTGGATTCTTTGATCGTTCTCCACTTCCTATTGAAGTGGCTTTAAAAGCCCTTCTGTACATGAGAGCCGCCTGCCCGCCATGGAAATGGACCCATTTTGCACATTCACTCATGTTGGTTTATTCCCCTCCCCTTTGTCCTAATGGAATATTTTTTCCTTTGTAAGATGTTTGGCCTCGTCTAGTGTGGCGCTCCTTTGATCTACCTCCAAGTCCAATCTGGAGTGGCTTTGGAAGCCCTTCTGTACATAAGAGCTGCCTTCCCGGCATCCAAATGCCGCACATCACTAACTTCACGACCTGTGGAGCTGAATTTTCCCCGGGAGTCCAGGACCAATTATTTGTTCAAGCTCAACATGCCA